CTCGCCAGTAATGAGCCAAATGAAGTCTCAACCCTTTTACATGTACAGGATGTTGATAATTCCTTTGTTAAATACGTAAATTATCTTCACGTGACAACAGCCGACTGTTTAAGACAATTCAATTCTAATACACGCTTTGTAAACGCTTTGAAATCTGTAATTGGATATGCGCACAAAATTAATTATTTTCCTTCAGGCACTACTTGTATTAAAGTCAACACAAGATGCCTACGTAATATTGTGTTAATATCAGACCTAGATGCTAACAAAACACGTTCCTAATTGGTTACTCGTCAAATGATAACTTATCTGTCGTTTTGAGATTTTGTTTAGACACCAGCAAATTTAGAGTCAATAAATAGGTTCTCTAATCTTTCCAGATTGGCGAAATATTAAAGATGGGCCAAATTAAAAGTACCCTTAACCGACAAGCACGCATGGAAAGACTGATGACTGTTGATGAAGCAAAAGAGGTACATATGTAAGAATCGTAGCAATTAGCGTTCCATAGTCTCTATGCCTACTCCCATGGGAGACAGGCGTGAGGTGAAGTATGTATGATCTCTCCGCGGTTGTCGTATCAGTCAGCTAAAGGACTATGTTTAGTAAAGACTGGGCAGCACCACTTTTTAATTAACCTGAACCTTTTACACTGTGATTTGCAAGCCGTTTCCCAAGTGCAGAGATCATGCAAACTCTTTTACATAAATATAGAGAGGCCTATATAAGAGCAGTGATAGGTCACTGGCTGTTTTACATTCCTTGACTTTATAACTTTATTCCAAAAACCGAGAACTGTGTCTACAAAACTACTACTTTTGGCTCGACCGGTGTGATACCACGGCCTCCCAAAAAACCGACGTGAAGCAACGCTTGCATTGTGTGAAGTTTGTTTGCAAATTGAGTATCGTCGTATGAGTGAGGTTACCGGAGGCCAAATTACCCCTCTTGAAACTCCTAACCCACAAAAGGCCGGTAACCTTGTAACCCTTTGGTATTCCTGGTGTTCCAGGTGTCCATGATCGACGCCGATTGCTTACCTTCAGGTGATGTTTGAAAAATTTGACCATTTAATTTGTCTAAATATAGATCTGAGAAAATTAAACCTAATTATAATAAAGTTAAACTTTATTTTATCGGTCATATCAATATTAATTTGTGAAAGTAAATTCTTAGTCAAAAATAGATATATGTACTTGTAAAACCAAACGTGACAACAGAATATTAGAGGATTGGATACGACATAACAGGAATTGAGAAAAATTTGACATGATCTTCAACTGTCGTGGTGACCTTGAGGTTTGAGACGACCGCTTCTCATGCCTGAGGGCGCGCGTTCAAAACCAACCAACGCCGAGTACCAATGTGATATTTTTCGAGTTATATATATATACATATTTTTTTTGTTTAAAAACGTTGTCCAACACAACCATACAAGTTCACATACATTTGTGGATCACACAAAGAGTTGCTCCGTGCGAGAATCGAACCCGCGATACGTTGGGCGGCAGCCGGTTGTCCAGCCACCGCACAAACTGTGCTGTACTACAAGTACGTACTTCCTAAGATTTATTTTCCTATTTAGTCAACACTAACAAACGATAAAGGAGTACATTGTGAGGAAACCAGAGCTTATAATTTCTTTTTATAAATTTTAAATGTCCAATGCACATTGAGCAAGCGTGGTGATTATTACTCAAACCTGTCCGAGAAGAGGCCTTTGGTCAGCAATGGCCATTTACAGGCTGTTGAAGATGACGTTGAAGTAATACTATTTTGTTATAATTTTTTAAGGAAAATACTCGGAACCTTATGTAGAGTGACCATCTAAACGGGGGCAGGGTTGAATACAGGTACAACATAAAATATTACACTGACTTTTCCTTGAAACGTGGGCAGAGGTGTAGAAATACTCTCACTGTTCATTACTTCTGTTATTATTCCTATAAGTTCGGGGGCGAGGTTCTTGTATTAACTCGGAAATTGATATATCCAAAAATAGTTCAATGGTATACTCTGAAACCTAAGATCTTCATAATAACAAACATATTGTTTAAATACGAGCCAAAATCTGTTATACAGACGATTATTTTTTTATAGAAACAATATCGTGCCTATAGTTTTTAGTGACTGTAGTAGTTTTTTGACTGCACGGTTGGCGCAGTGGCTGGGCAACCGGCTGCCGCGTAATCTATAGTGGGTTCCATTCCCGCATGAAGTAACTTTATGCTGTCCATAAATTATTGTTTTCGGTCTGGGTGTCATGTGTGTATGTGAAATTGTATGTCTATAAACGCACCCAAGATACAATAGAAAATCCTAGTATGGGGTAACGGCAATTAAAGTGAAATTATTTCCGTTTAGTCAAAGAGTTTGTAGAATCACTTGAATTATCAGAACTACATGATCTTTATTTGAATATAAACATGTTATTTCACATCTAGTCCAATACTTCCACCTTGCAGCTGAATCTAATAAAGGTTGTCTCAGGATATGTAGTTGGAAAATTCTCGGGAATAAACTTAAATTCATGCAGCAGTACAAATTAAAAGACAACTAGTTTGGACTTGCAGTAGTACACAATAAAATTCCGGCAATTGAATGAAATTTCAGGCTATTCAGTAACTAGAAAGGACAAAATATTATGTTTTCCAGTTGTGAAATTCTTAGTACTCAAACAGATTGTGAATGGAGTGGTACCCCTATAGTATGGAAAATACAGGGTGCACAAAAATGTATTGGTATTGTAAATAAAACTCATTTAAATTTATATTCATTTATTTTTTACGGAAAGCGACAGTGGTCCGCGTTACAACAGTATTTTGACACTCTAGGGCTAACAGAGTTTTTTGAGTACATTTTTAGGAATATATTTACACTGTAATGCACATTTATAACATTATGTAGTTCGAAGATGAAGGCAGAACGGTGAGGGAATGCTTACAATATTTCTCCCATTACTTTCTTCCTTAACAATTTCGGTGCCTCATTCATATGTTCTATAACATCGGCAAATTACTTTTCTAGTACAAAAGCGATAGAAGCAAACTGATCCCGTGTTTACCTAACGTCATGCCCGAGTAATTGACTGCCGTTAACAGATTCCCCATTTAAATTTAAGCATAAATAACTTTCACATAACCTACTTATTACAATTTTTCTTCAATATATACAAGCCTATTTCTTTGAACTCAGTCTATATTTATTAATACTTTTAATTTAATATTCTGATATTTACGAATAGGTACATTTGTCTAAAATTACTTACATCATTAAGTACATAATAATTGTCTATAATGAGTTCTAAGGGATATGTTCCGTCAAATATTGTAATAACAATATTACCAATTAAATCAATTACATACTTAAATATATTTATACAAGTAATAACATAACATTATTTAAATTATAAATAGTAATATTATATTTAATTTACCTTAATGTTCACAAGTATTTTTGTTCATTTAAATGAGTATGAGTAACTGACTTTTCGTGGAAATGAAACGCAAATGCGAAATATGAGCAGGAAACCGGAAATGTGACGTCACCCATCACCTATATGATGATACCTTCACTCGGAAATGTTTTTTTTCTTCATAATGATGTTATTTACGTGTGACGTTATGATTGTAGCGTGTGACGTCACAAAGCAGTCTTTAGGATAGTGTATCGGTGGTTAGACAGCATCAGTAAAAGGGGTCTTATAATTTTATGCATTTAACATAGTCTTTGTATAGTCCACATAAGAATTTAGTACGCAAATAAAAGAATGAGGATTGGGTCACTATAGAGATAGTTACAATTATTATTGTAAATCATATGCTTTAAACTAAGTCAATAAAATGAATCAATGTTTATTTTCTTATTGACTGTTTACTAAATGCTTATGCTGACTGTATCTTTTCTTGTTAATGATATGTATACTCTTGGACAAACCAAAAGGATTGACAAGAAACTTTAATGATACACCGAATAGTGTAAAATGTAAAAAGGTCAGAGTTCAAAATCAATATTTTAAATGTCAAATCAAATAGCCACGCACAAGTCATTGTAAAATATTTCAAATAAATTCGTTTAACAACATACCTTCAGGCGTAAGTACCTGTAACATTTTTATAAAGGAAAGGTAGCTAGCTTCCATTACAAAATTGCACTTAAAGCAATAAATCACAATATTTTGATAACTTCCTCGTACGTATATTTTGAGCTTGTAATTCAAAGTGCTCTCATTTTTAAAATATGATCAATTTTGTAATTATGATGTATGTTTTTTCCTTATAAGCGCAATGTATGTTATCTAGAATAATGTTGATGAAGATGGTGAATGATTTTATAAAAAAAAATAAGGTACAGTACAGTTATACTTTTCAATATTTTCAGCTTGCAGTAAATGTTAAATAGATTTTTAAACAAAGCTTTGTTTATCACGATTGATCCTAAAATTTACATACTTACATGTTATAAAAATAAAAATAGTGGCTCGACATACAAGCATAATATATCTGAATCATAACACAAAGAAATAGTTCCAGCTTTCGTTCCTAGCTTTGTCATATTTTTTCAAATATCATATTTTCAATAGTACTAACAAAGAATACTCGAAAATATTATACATTTCACGGGAAATACTGGACTTGTGAATTGTTCTGCAATATTAAATATTTGTTTGCTATATAATAAAAGAAAAAAGAAAAATATTTGTTACCTGAATGTTTTGTGAAATTTTTCTGCAAAATCTTATAAATTGCAATAATAAACTAGGACAATCTACAAGTAAATCAGCAAAAGAATGTAGGGAAGCACTAAGGAAGAATTTGTATATTGTAACTTTTGTAAGACATACTAAATTATTATGTTTTCGGCTTACTCACGTCGCGGTCGTATGTCGCAAAATGTTGCTCATGAATATGGGCCTCTAGTATGGCTTGAAACTAGTCGAGTTCCTCGTCAAACAGTTACATGAGTAAATACACAATAATATTTTCAGCATTAATGGAAGTATTTTCACAAAATAATATTAATTTAGCTAAATCAAAGTTATATTATAATATTATTATTTGTGTGAACTGTTCTAATAAGACTATAAGAACTAACTGTTCTAAATAAATAGCAGGTATAATAAGTTACAATGCTTTCGTAGTATAATTTTAATATTTATTATTCTGGCTACTAGGGAAGGACGTTGAGAAAAAAGCAGGCATAATGTCATTTAAGAATGATTGAAGTACCATCTCAGTGCATTTTTATGTGGTCTTGTGTTAACGGTTACCACGTTACAATGAAGATGTCCTTCGTATCAATGGTGTTTATGTTCTGTATGTAACTATATAGTAGTCAGGTGCCACAGTCGTTGGTTCAAGAGACTGTGTCCGCCTTTTTTTGAACCTCCTTGGCTACGGGCACATGTATCATAATTCTATCTATACCTTTTCCAAGAATGAAAACTGAAACATCATATCAAGCTATAACAAAGTATTTAATAAGAAAACCATGTAAAATATCTTAAGACGGAACTTTCCAGAATCATTCACAAAAAATAATTATTCTTACAAGAGACATTACATAATATATTTGTTTACTTACTAGCTAAACTTAAGGAACATCAACCCCGGGACAATGTTATCAGAATAAAAAATATTAATAAAAACAAAAAATGGCAACACTGATACTTTGAGGCTCTGTTGTAATCTTGTAACCTGAAATCTGAAAACATTACACTAATTAGCAAGAGAACAAGTTACGTTTGATTTTTGGAAAACAAGTACAAAGTAATCATAATATTTTGATATTTCATTAAAACATTTTTCACATGAAATTGTCAAAAGACTCGATAATTTTCTGCGTATAATTCTAATGAATTCACATTATTTTTAACGTAAACATTAATTTGTTCATTTCAAAATGTTGAGACATCGAACAGTAGAGATTATAATATAATTATTTAAATATTGTAAGCAAAAATTACAGTAAAATGAAGGGGTCAAATCGTACAAAATATCACTTAGTACCTAAGTATAGTAATAACTAGTGTTTGCCATTTGTTCTAAAATTGAGGAAACCCACGAACTACATTTTATAGATGAGGTTTTCAATTTTGGTAATCTCAGTACTAGTATGGGATCTAGAATCATGCCTACAATTAAATAAAATGGAGTAACAACAACTATAATGAAAAGTGGATCTATTAAAAATACAAATCATAGTAGAGGTTTTCTTAGTCATATTCATATGAGTAACCCGCGATATTCAGTTAAATTCTGACAAATCTGTCTTTTATTTTGGAAAAGAATAGGTGGCAATGTTTACTCCCGAATTCATTTCACATATTATTGAATGTGAAAATTACATTTGCATTGTAGTAGCTACTTTGAGCCACTGCCCCACCCGACCTATCAAATTGACAGGCATGAACAATTTTCATACTCTTTACATTAAATAAATATTTAAGTCACATTTACTCTGCGGTTCACATATAAGCAGACAAGCCATTAGCTTTAATGTGACAATAATTATTTAAATCAAGATATTTTAAACTAAACACGGGCTGCGAGTTCGGGTGTAATTGCCTGATATTAAATCCTAATAGCTGTTGACCGATAGTTAATACGTACCTTGGGTGCCGAAGGGCGTGCTTTCAGATGATTTATCAGCTACGATGTTTAACCTTTGGACAACTGTCAAAACATTCACGTTATTATACGTTTCAAAAACATAAAAATCTTTTTTTAAATGGAATTTAATTTGGAGTTTAAATTTTTATTTAGGTTGTTATGTTGACGAGACTTCGTCTATCTTACCATTTTTGTTTTCCATCGGTGGAAGAGGCATAGCTATTGAAAGGAAAAAAGCTCGCGTAAATATTAATATTATCTCACATAAGTGATTTGTACGAAAAAATCTAAGTGAAAAAATGTGTTTTAAACATGTCATTCTTTTTTCTGTGTGCCAACGTTCCAGGTTACTAGGAATTCATTCTCTTCTGTCATGACTCATATCCTTCCCAGTGATATACATATGTAGATGATGAAATTTCCGTAATACTTCTCACGCAATCCAACCTTTCCGTTCATCAACATCAAATCTCAAATAAAATATTGTAGTTTATGCTGTCTCGTAGGAATTTTAGAATTTAATGTGCTTATATATACAATAACAACATCAACAGCCTATAAGTGTCCACTTTTGAGCAAATGCATGCTCTCTCAAGGAAAAGGTTTAAGCATTAATCACCACGCTTGCTTAATGCGGGTGGCTATCACCAGAACATTAATTAGTTAAATATTTGATACTTACGATACAATTTAATAGTGCCCTCGGTGTCTCCGAGGGAATTTTTTGAGACACATTTGTAGGTCCCATAATCGGAACTAGTAACTCTTCGTATCGCGAGCTTCAGCACTGATCGATATGATCCATCTATCTTGTGGGGCTCCAAACCTCCCCCTGTACACGAAAATGTATTTAACATATTACACCCGTACAATACTTCGCTATATTGAATGTTTAGATAAATTGTTTACGTAAAATACTTAGGATTTTGTAGGAAAAAATTAAATCTTTCCAAAAAATATCTAGTACTACTCTAGTAGTACAACTATAGCTTTCTTTATTCAATCCCGATTTCCCTTCAACCAATTTAAAAAGTTCAGTGTATATAGTAGATTACAAAGAATACGCTAAGCTAATCCAGATTTTGTAAAAAAAGTTAACTTCGAAACTCCTTTTAGTTAGTTCAAAATTAAATTTAAAAAATATTGGTACAACTCCATTAGACCAGGAAACAGGTTGCCGGTAAAAATGATCGCCTTTGTAACTTGAACGCAACGAAATGTTATGAAATACTGACATCACGTACTCGAACCACGTTCAACTTTTGACATTTTATTTTATATATCATGCTCGACTTACTTTTAATGAAAAATATTTTTTGTAGTGATAATTATATTGTTGACTTGACAGTGAATATCAATCGATGTCGTGACCTTTTATTATCACGGTAGGAATGTTTCAACTTCACGTTTCTATAGATAGAACATTCCAGAACGACCACTGAATTTTATGGACACCGATTTGTATTGTTTCCTGAGTTTACGTTGGCGTCATTTACGTAGAATCAGTTATTTAAAGCCTTTGACAATCTTTTGAAAAAAATATAAAGGATATTTTCGCAGAAAATGTGACAAGTACCTATCAAAAAAAATCCAGCCAAAAACATTCCGTAAAATTTAGTCAAGTCTCGATAGAGCCGATGAACGAGTCCTCTCTAAAAGTAAGTAAGAAATCTAAACAAAGTCGTACTAAGTCTTACTGAGATTTCTTTATTATTATTATTATAGGTGATGTTGTGTGACTTTAAAAAATTTTTATCTAAAAAAACACGATATTCTATAATAAGTATAATTTAAAATTTAATATGCAAATCAGATCTTATCAAGTACCTATCCAAAGTGTGTCAAGAAGGTGTAGAGTAACCAATATACTCGGATAGTTTGCGGTATTCGATGAATCCTGCGTCTGTAGTTACAACAGATTTGTGTGCAACTCGATTCTTGTACCGTTACTCCGTACAATTCGAGCAACGATCTTAGAGTATTCCAGAAGCTTTGATATTTAAAGCTGGCCCCTAAGCGGATGATATGCAAGCACCAAACATTATTAAGATTTCATCAGTGCGGGTTAAACTCCTAAGGGATTACCATACTTTGACAAACACAGACTTGTAGATCAAGTGGATGCTCGATATGATTTCGTAATGAATTTTGTGATTTGTTATGTAATCAATGGGTATTCTTTAGTGTACATTATTAGGAAAATTTTAATGGCCGTTTCTTTTTATATTTCTCTCAAATCAGTTGTATTTGTAGTTTTTATTATATATTAATTAGTCTACTGAGTTATATTTAATAAAAATATATTGCTTTACAACAACTATTTATTCAATGTGTTCAAAATTTTATATACCTAGGTTACCAAAAAATGTTGACCCACAAAAAACGGATCATTTTAAAAATTTCGTCGGAATGCTAAGCCTTTGCATTACTTTAGTAATGTTGGAGAAAAGAGAAAGAATAATTTCACAGAAATAATTCCATTATATGTAAAATACAGCCGTATACGTGGCTCAGTGTAGTACTTCTTGCCAAAGTAGAAATATTTATGGTCCATCTTTTTTAATAAAATACCGAATTTGGAGGTATAGCCGTCAATTTTGGGAATTACATTTAGGAGTCTAGAATTGAAGTAATGCGTATTGTAACTTGACGGGTATTAATATTAGTTTATATGATTTACTACCTACAGATGTAATACAACATTTACTTGAAACTGCGTCTGTAACTATTAACGTCATATCGTGTAAACTTAACGATACTCAGAGAGAACGAACGCGTGAGTAAAATACATATAATCCTAAATGTAAAAGTCTTTAATAATATCAGACATGTCTAACGTACTCGTCCAATGCTGACCTAGGAAATAAGCGCAATGCGCTGAATCGATGTGAATCTAAACTGGAAATTCCTCTTAGTTTTAAAACAATCGCTGGGTAGCAACCTCCCCTAAGTTGTAGGGGCAGCACGAACATGAACTTCAGCTGTGAACTAAGACCTTTGAAGATAAGCCAAGTGAAAATGCAATATGTTAATTCTGTTGCATATATCTTACTAAATATAGGACTTGAATACACAGTCTAGGGTTGTGTATAAGAGTAAGAATGTTTCGCACATTTGGGTGCGGATCTTGTTGAAGTCACGCGATGTTGTAAAGTGAATATGGTGCAGGTCATCGGATACACTGCGCGTGTCACCTGAGAATTTAGCAAGGTTACACAGATTTGTCTTAAAACACTTCAGTGCTACTACTGGCTTTTTCCTTACAAGGTTTAGTGGACACGTACTTAAATGTTGTATGTTAGGCCAATATATCTGTTATCTACAATCTACACAGAATTAATACGTGAGTGTCAACATATACATACTAGAATAGAATGTCAATTGTGGGTTCGACTTTATTTAAAAGTTACACCTACTTTCTGCTACGACTGTAATAGCATATAAGATAAAGGATATTTACGACTTTGCGTCCTCTCCTACAAGAGACGCTGCACAGAAGCATCTCCAAACATTAAGCATGAGCATCTATTGGCAGACGGCAAAAATAGAACAAACTTTAATTATAATTAATCATTGCTGTACCTGACACCTTACAAAGTATACAAAAAATAAATCTAGTCACTAATTACAGTCGCCTGAATTTCGACTTTATGTCAGAGGCAACCATATTTCGAGCAAAAGCATGAGATAAAACCGATGATATTACAAACTGTCGCCGTATCCTAAAAAGTTTCGGTCAACGCCATCAAGTCCGAAATTAATCAGTTTCCATTTTGTAACACAAAATTTCGCTCGTCTACTCTACTAATTACATGTCTTCGTTTACCTGAAAGCTCGTATGTCTAAAAGCGTATGAATCCAGCTTTTAATTGAGCTATTTTAGAACTAGGATAAATCTCAAACCAAATGTCATCTTTGAAAAGTTCAATTTTAGTATCAAAGAGCAGAATTAATGGCCATCCCTAACAAAAATTGACGTGTATCGAGTATCAAAATCTCTCCGGCCATTGTGTCGAAGGATCACGCAGAGTTTCTTTATTGTTTTCAAACAACCAATTTATCAGGCAGAAAATATTTATCTTTTATTTTCGGCGTGTAAATATAGAACAACAAGTGAGAGATGTATTTTTACCCGACTAAATTATTATTAGGTAACAGTGATTTACAACATCTGAAGATTGTCTGAAATTATAGAACAATATAATAATTATGTATTTGGTGTTAGCGTAATTATTTTCAAATAAAAGAAAATATGATTTTCTAAATAAAAGAAAAATATAATTTACTTTCATTTAAAAACTAGACGATCCGGCAAATTTTGTACCGCCTAAAATTTTTTACCTACCTATTATTTTAAACCTTCCCTGGACTTTTCGATGACGACTTTTCAAAACCAAAACGGGCCAAATTCGTTCAGCCGTTCTTAAGTCATAGCGAGACTAACGAACGGAAATCCATTTTTATACAATAACAGTGATTGTAAGATGACAATCTTAAATGGACGTCTTAAGTAAAACGATAAAACATCACATTAGCTTTTACAAAGAATCATCCGACATGATATCCATTCGGCCACGACTACGAGTCTTTCTACTGTCCTAGAATGAAGTGAAATAGTCTACAACCGTTCTCAACTCTATCAGTATCAGTATAGATATCAAATTCAATTTTGCAATGTGGACAGCAGCTGTCAATTGGCACCGTGTGAGTTTTCGATTGCTCCTAAATTGGTGTTAGTGGTCGCACCAGCATTTGTTGTCCGGGACAGTCATTAAATGTCAACGAATTTTTAAATTATAATTTGATGATGTTAAATAAGTACAATATCTATTAAATATTGAACAATTATTCTTATTCTTATATTCTTGATTTATTGTTTCTTAAGAATTTACGGTGTCTGAGATTTATGAACTAATCTCTTTGGACATTGAAAATAGCCTAGAGATATTCTTCTTATATAACAATATAATAGAACTAAGGTAGATTCATTTTATTTATTTTTTATTTTGGCCTTAAAGATCTTAGTCCGATGTAAGCTTAAGCTGATATTTCCACAAATATAGATCAGCACACAAACAGACTAAAAATAACTCTCGATCTACCACCCCATAAAGTACAAAACTATAGATTTAATACGTTAAAATAACATGTACCTCTAGTATAAAATATTTCTGACCTCTGTTTTCCCAAGATAACAAACACAATCACATAATTCCAAACAAACTACAGACCGTAAAAAAAGTAAAACACACATATAACAAAAATAATAAACTAAAGCATTATCTCATAATGAAAATGTAAAAGTAATGAACGTCTGAGTGTAAACAAAGGATTTGTTAATTTTGTACCAACAATGGGAACAAACTGAGGTACGTAAAAGCTGGAACACATTATTTTAGGTATAAACACTAAGTTAATGTTCACATTTTAAAGGACTATATCTGGACAAGGATTCCTTTTAATTGGGCGCTAAATGAGTCGTACAAATATGTATGTATGTGTGTGTAATCGAGGGCAAAAGTATGCGGCCTAACTGCCTAAGCCGATGCGGGTGAAGATACATTAGGACGATTCTCGTGAGCTTTTATAGATCTACGGATTATTAAGATAATAAAACCTTTTATATATGAAATGTTAGTATAATAGAAGTTATTTTTAAAGGTTGGATTTAAATTATAGTTTTTGTTGTTTACAATAGGTCTATTTTGGGTCTATCTATATTAGAAGTGAGGTTTTAATGTCAAAAGAGAACTCTCTTGTAAGGCACAGCAACAATGCTGGATATAGTAGTCTCGAATATTTTAAGTTGAACCACTAGTTTTGAACTAGAAGGTACAGTTTTAAAAAGAATTAATAAAGTCTATATAATCTTACCAACAGGGACGATCTCGCCGTTATCTCTGCTCCAATAGCTGACGGGTTTAGGATACGCTTCTGTCTCGCATTCCAGCACAAGCTCGGTGCCTAGTGCTGCTCCAACCAACTGATTCCTTATTGTTATTACTGGGGGAACTGGGACAATAGAAATTTATATTATTAGTGATGATACTAAACTATTCAGGTGCTAAATAGTCAATAAAATGGTTCTTTAAAGTTGGACACCACTGACGGATTCGACAATTTCTGTGTTACTATATTAAAAAGATACAATTCATAGGTCAATGAAATTAATCACATAAGATCGTATCCCCTGAGTTGGGTAAAATATTTTGGAATTCTTTATCGTTAATGACGAGCGCGAAGCTTTTCTTCATTATTTAGGAAAATTCAATACGTATACAATTAGTTAATTACTTACTAATTAAAGATAAGTACCTAAATAATTATAGCATTCAACAATCCTATACCTAATGACAATTACTATCAGAATGCAACTAATAGAATAGACCCAGTAATTAGCATTCTGTAATCAAACTAATTCATTCAGATTTAAATCTTATTACATCTTAACAAAGATTCTTAGTTTAAATTTATAACTATAAACCTTCTCATAGAATATTGTAGTCGATTAACATTCATATTCCATATTGATTTGAAACTTTATTAAATATCTGCTAGTTTTCCTATACCTCTATATTGAAACGTATTTTCTATTAAAATGAAAGAACTAATTTCCCGTATTATAGAGTAGAAATCTAAACCAATATTTATTGTATCAAAATAAAAGTAACAACGTATAGAAAAATCATTTATTTCAAATAGACCAAAAAGAATTTTTTGAACGTCAACAAAAAGTTTTAAAGTGAAGCTATTTCCTCATTCCAAGGTGTAGATTCCTATGGAGAAGAACGCGCAAGAAACTCTATAGGTTACTCTATTTAAATCAGGTTCACAATTCATTCTTTAGTTAAAACGGTAAAACGATAAATATTGGTAAAACGGGGTGAATAGAATTCGAGAGGTGAATAGATATAGGCATGGGGCGAATAAATATTAGAACATTTCTTCAATATATATACAACCCTCTACGTAGGTACATAGTTTTGTGAGTTAATTATGGTGGGTGGTTTGGTATTATTTGTAAACAGATCTTGATTTTCATATTCATCAATAAGATGGATCATCCTACTGTCCAGCAAAGGACGGCCACGTGCCATTAATGATAAATGATGAATTCGTTCAAATGCGATCATCGTTTAAAAGTCACTTTAATTTAACCTACCGTCGTTTCACTGTTCATTTTACCCAAAGATTTTCAATACCTAATTATAAAATGACGTAGGGTTTGATTTATTTGTATCATCAGACCATCAATAACAAGCGGCCCTGGCTGGTGTTAGTGGCCTCCGCAAGGTTTGTCTGGTTAAGTAGTCAACAGCCTTAGCGTCCTGAACTAAGGGTGGTCCAAAAAAAACCATTGAGCTCAATCTTCAGTTCAGAGGCCTTTGTACGAGTTTGTTTTACGTTTAAAGTATTCGAAACGAGTAAGCGTTTGGCGCTCTGATTGGTTGCTTCACTGCCGCCGGCCAATCAGAGCGCCAAACGCGTACTCGTTTCGAATACTTTAAACGTAAATCAAACTCGTACTAAGGCCTCAGACATACAACGATATCAGTGTTCCGCCTAATTAGAGGGTGAACTACATTATGTTTGCTTAAGCATAGCTTTATAATTTACTAGTTACTTTCGCCCGTTCTCACAAACCTCTCCTATATTTAAAGGAACACCTAAGCTAAGACAGGTGATATTGAACGTCATTTTTATTTTCATCATATTAAAAATTTCTAACAGTAAAAGTAAGGAATTAGTTTACGTGCTAAGTGCTAGATCAAGCTATGTAACTTTTAGTTAAGTGTCACTTAATAAAATTACCCATCAATTGTTTATTTAATAGCTCTGTAGAAATACCTATTTCTTTTTTAATAATGATATTTTAGATTTGAATAAGTCTCACGATGCAACCTGCCACAACATTTACAATTGCAACTCTTATAGCAAGTTTATTCGTTTGTAAAAGTTAATAGAAAAACCACACCGGCAATTCACAATATCGTACGTAACATTTTAATAAAATGCGTCATAATATCGAAAAAAAGTTTTCATTGTAAATATTTAAATAGACATAAATGGAAAAATTAAAGCATATTTGTTAGGATTTAAAATTTCCATGTTTATTTTCGTTATTGAAGGTGATATTGGATTAAAACGAGTAGTAACTGGAACCGATATTTTTTGAGTCCATGCAATGTTACAAAATAATATAATACAAGCGCTTATTCCCCCTTTTTTTTAATTCAATTCAATATGTTTGTAACAATATTGTTTGAACGTTGTATCTATAAAATACCTATACACTGGGCACAATCCAGAAACCATACTATTACTGACAACAAGCGCGTATTTATTTTCACCTTTTATAATTCAACATGTTTAATAATATTATTTAAAGTATTACAGTTGAAGTACTGATAATCTTTAAGATCGCAAGAAGCAATACTACTTTTCATAGTAAATAAGGCTAAAATATACTTAATTGATACTTACATTGTACTGTAAGCATTATCCTTTTGCTGACTGTGGGTGGTACTCCATTCGAAGCGATGCATAGGTAAGCCCCTGCGTGTTGTCTGGTCACTCTGGTTATATTTAGCTCTGGGCCTTCGAAAGACGTTACTGTAACAATAATATTGTGTTATAGAACTGTAATATTATTTAAAGCATATTACAAACTAGGAATGGATACTTTGGTATCAGTATTGCTGAAAACCGATATATCGGTAGAATTGTGGATAGATTGATTAGGGATGCACGAGAAATGTATCAGAAAAAGAGATAAGAAAAAGATAGGGATAAAAGATTTGCTTCAAAGAAGGTTCTACTCAAATTACTACTTATCTAGGCAGGTACTCCTTGTAGGTAACCACAGAACTATGCACAAAGTTAGGTGTGTATGTAACATAGACATGACACGTATGCTGACGTCATAATCGTTTAGACACTGGCTGCAACTAGTCACACATAGTTTTAACGACGTCATTGCAATAAATATGTATTGCTTTTACCAATGGTCCACGTTATTCTCACGTTAAAAATATCGGAAAATATCACCCGCGGAAAGAGGAGTAGTGGCGACACATGATGTTCTACTCTGTCGTCATGAAACGATTTACCGCTCTCATGCATATAATTACTTCACATAAAATATCTCCTTTATCAAAATCTAGTAGCAACCATTAGAATGCACTATATTGTTATTAGGAACCGCTTCAAACGATGTTACTTGTATCGTAGTTTAATACAAATTACTAAGTACAAGCCAAGTTAAACCATGTACAACAGACGCAAAGTAAACTGTTCTCTGTTCCTATTATGTAAGACATGCACTAAACATTGGTCTAACGATACATGATCGACATATATAGTATATGTTCGGTTAGATTGCAGGAAAGTGCAATGTTCAAAATTAGTGGTTGTGCCATAGATAGATATTGCGGTTTAAATGAAAAATAGTAGGAACGTAAACCTCATGACTGAGGGTTGGTCTTAAATATGTTCTGTATCTATGGACTCGAAAATATAAGACTATGAAATACTGTTTACGTAAATTGCAAATTTATAGTTTAGGAAATACAATGAGATACATAGAAATAGGTTTATTATATTATTTTCGTGAGACTAATAATGCCTATGTAATCCTTTGACGAAAATCAAACTACATAACAACGTCTATTACCGTGTATGTACAAACAATATTTACCTTGCATTCCGTCTGAGATGGTAATAGGTTTGGAATGTTCTCTTCGCCAAGTAATTTGTGGATGCGGTGATCCCGTAGCAGCACATGTTAAATTTATCGAGGCGCCTTCCCGTACTGTCTGGTCTGTGCTCGTGCCTCGATCGAGAATGTCAGGTGGGACTGACGGAAACGTAATACAAAGCAATTATTAGTATTTGTTGTTATAAGCAACTAAATATAAGTAAAAAGAGATAACACTATCGACACACGACGTCTTCCATTGTTTTACAAATTCGCGGCCTCCGCCACGCACATAGATAATTTATCACCATAGACTATACTATGACCATAGAGTATACCACAGATACACAACAGTATTTTAATTCTTATTATACTTAGTGATGCGAGGTATTAGAAATATAATGTAATTGAATTAACAGAAAGATATTTTCTATTTACTGTATCCAAGATTGAAAATTGTAATCAGTTGAAGAATGTTTTAATATAAAACAAATAATATACTTAATTTTATGTAAATACAATTGAATTGTTTTCATAACTATGCAATTAAAATAATAAAATTTTTCGTAGCACGATGTTTTAAATTAAACAAAATGTTACTCAAAACAAAGTTCAGTTCTTGATTTACTCAAAATAATTGTACACAGTATTAGTACAAAGCCTATTGTTTCTTAGATCCACTACTATATTTAGAACAACTGTCTGTAAAGTTTTCTTATAAAATGTATTGTGTTTCTATATAACAAGATGGTAACATAAACCTTGATGAATAGAAATGGAAGGAAGATAGTATTTATGACTTATATCTGCTTACCCACGATATCTAGGTATCCAAGTTGTGACTTCATGGGGTCTGTGTTTATCTGGCACATGTACCATCCTCTGTCCGTCTCCCGCAGCTCCCGAATGTGCAGGAACCAGGTCCGGTGGTCGCTGTGAGTCACCCCCACTCTTCGACTCCTTGATATCACGTGCGTGTGGATTGTGAGAATAGTCTGCGTGTCTACCCTCAACCACGCGACCTATTACCAAATGTTTATGGCCATTTTAAAAACACCATTACGACCACAAAAACTGTGTTATAAAAATCTAAATAAGTTTCGATAAACTACTGGTAATGCGACATTCTCGTAGCTACTACTGCTGGGCGCTCATACGCGAACATCGATTGAAAAACTTTCATAAAGTTCCGAATGACATTTTTAGGAGTTTTGTTAGCCTATACTGAAATACGATACTGTTAGTCGGAGTAAATCATTATAACGTTTTATACTGAATGTTTTATGGAACTTGAAATAATGTTTTGTAAAGATGAACCTCGTAAAAGATCAGATCTATTTTTAACATAACATGACGCCTTTTACCCCCGAAGGGATAAGCAGAGGTGCACATTACGGCCCTTAATGCCACTATTATTTATGTTAATGAGAGAATGAGTAAAAAACTGATCCCATGTAGTAGGGGATGAGCCTATTGTCATATATCGGGTACAATTCCATATTCCGTACTACCACTAAGAAATTGTTTTTACACTTAGTACTATGACCCGGGAGTCAAACCCGAGACCCCTTGCCCGGTAGTCGCACTTGCTGCCGCTCGACCAACGAGGCATCTATTTTTAAACGTTGTGATTATGGCAACAGACTGAGAAAATTAGCTTAATTTACTATTCAATTAATGTGTCATGTCATCTAATTGAGAACACATTCTAAATTAGGCGTGAATTTACTTCAATGTTCGATGGGAGCTGTTCACTAACATAAAAGCACTCCTGTGTTCTATTCTTAAGGCAATTAAGATTAATTTGAGATGGTGTTGTCACAGTCTATCACGTCGCCGTCGTCTCAAGGTGTCGGTTAGACTTGGCTAACAATAGTCCTCTCTACTATTCATTTATAATTTAAAAGGTGACTGACGAATTACATTACCATTACTAACAACTCTATTTGTAGTTTGTATGAATACCTAGAAGCGTCCCATAAATCGTCAAAGAATTAGATGAAGGTTAATAACCGCGATTCTACTTAAAACGGAAACACTAACAGTTTTCTTTAAATTCTCCTATGTAGTAGTAGAATTAAGTTTATTTTTATAATTATATACTCTTTCAAAAGTTAAGACACTCTTCTTAACAAATGCACCAAGTTTTAAGAGGAAATCTGTAGTAAAGCGCTTGCAGCATCTTTAAGGCTAAGATCACGTAAGATCTAAATTTTATAAGTCGTCTTTTATTTAGCAATAGCGCTTCGCTGCAAGTATGTCGGTATAGTTTTCTGTATTTTCGTGTAAGATGATTATTATTATTACGAGGTATGTTATAAAAAATATAGTACCTACTTACTACTGAGCTTTCTTTGAGTGAAATATTTTTAAAACTAATGAATAGGTTTTCAAATAAATATCGTGCGACATAGTAAATTAACTACAAATCTCGGGTTACTGGGTACTGCGCGTAGCTTACCCCTCTGTGGTTTGAAACTAGTAGAGCTTTTCTCAGTATATTCACATGAGTAACCCGCGGTTTATAATTAATTTAATAAATAGATTCAAAGATTACGTACATATTTTTTATTAACTATGGGGGTTACTAAGAGTAAGACGTCGCCGTGACCGCGCACGCTGCTCATGAGGAAGAAACCCTCTGTGGTTCAAAACTAGTAGAGATTTTCTCAGTATATTCACGTAAGTAACCTGCGATTTTAATTAATTTAGGATGTCTCACGATATTTTTTTATTCTTCTAAGAGCTACCTTAAGCTCATAAAAGAATGAAACAATAACCTTATAAATTTTATTTTATCAAGACTTCTATAATACAGTTATCGTTGACCATGGACGTCTAAAATACAGAAAGCGTCGCTTGCAAAACCATGTTGTCTGTATACAGCAACATCAACCACTATACTTAATCAAAATATGAAAGGAAGAATAAAGTTATCTGTATAGCTATCTATATAGATCTATCGGATAAGCTGTCCTAACAAAAATCATATATCATATACTACATATTGTACATACAAAGCTGAGGAGTCTGTTTGATCGCGCTAATATCAGGAACTGCTAGTTCGATTTAAAAAAATATTTTGTGTTGGATAGTCCATTTATCGAGGAAGACTATATACTATAAAACAACACGCTACAATCAATACCCGCAAAGCAGAGAAGGTGAATTAATATGAATAATATTATTATGACGACAATATTTTAACGGTCTTCTTAGTAAACTGTGAGCAACCGCAACTGCCAAACGCAAATCCCCAAGTTCAGTTCCCAATGTGGTATTAATCTATTTTTCCATTTGAAAATTCTTAGTAATAGGGTGCGACCCTATTACAGTAGGATTAATATTGTAATTGGCGAAATTTGAGAGTACTTAATATAAGTAATCCTACCTCTCATTCGAGGCATAAAGGATTTAATGAGTATTAAAAACAGTTAAATATTGTAATTACTGATTGAAATTCAATATAAGTAATAACTTTTCAAGTGCCTCGATTGATCACATGTTAAAAATATACATATACCTACTATAAAAATACACATATAATACCTGCCTCGTTGGCCGAGTGATCGCAAGTGCGACTGCCGGGCAAGAGATCTCGGGTTCGATTCCCGGGTCGGGCAAAGTATTACTGGGTTTTTAAAAAAAAATCTGAGTAGTAGCACGGAGTCTGGAATTGTGCCCGGTATATGGCAATAGGCTCTACTCCTATTACATGGGACTCATAACATAAATAGTGAAAAGTGGGTGTTACATTGTACAATGGCATTATGTGCACCTCTGCCACCCCTTCGGGGATAAAAGGCGTGATGTTCTGTTATGTTATGTAAAAATATACATTGTTGCATTAAAACGACTAGAACTAGTTACTACTACCTATATATTTATCAATATATAATAAAATATTGTAAGCCAGTAGTGTAGCGAATACTCTAGGGGCTGTAAATGTCGCGGAGAACCTAACGGGTAACCGGGGCTCCGACTCGACGTGCAGGAGAAGGAACGGGGTGGTTTTTAGTCAGTAAGAGTCTGACACTCCCTCCCGCCTCACCCAGGCGGGAGCAGTCATTCGATGATTTTCCCCCCTTAAAAAAAAATTTCGAGGATGTGGAGGGGTCATTCTGACCCTGTCAATTTTTAATTGTGTGTAGTTTTTTATTCTGCCATCGAAGAGTTTTGAACGTCACAATAGCTATTGCTAAGGAACCGGCGCGCCCGCCCCGCATCCCTGTTCAGTTGGCCGCCGCCTGCGACGGTAATAAAACGTGCGTGCAGTCAAATAGGGTAAATATGACCCCGCGACAACCGCGATGTAACATTTTTATGTAAGGTTTCAATTATATTTTTACTTAATATTATTATAATTTTATGTTTTTTCGTACACAATGAATAGCCAGGAGCTTGAGGATGAACGCATACGTCTTGTTTTAATGCAGTCTGACAGTGAAAATGACTTGTTATCCGACGGTAGCGAAAAGGAAGATCATTTGAGTACGCGCAGTCAAAATAGTAATACTGAGCAAAATGCAAGCAGTGATGGCGAGGATAACGTACCACTATCTGAATTGCAACATCAGAACCCACAAATGGCAGAAAGAGAGGAATCGGATGGCCAGGTTACTGAACATTTGCAGGGCCGCAAAGAAACACCTCAATTGCCGAGACAGCTACGCAAGAAAATCAGAGAATTCATAGGAGAACCTGAACAAGAAGCTCCTGTTAGGGTTCCAGGTATAGGAAAAAAGTACCAAGTATGTCCTTATGCCCGCCATCGCAAGACAGCCAATATTTGTAAAGATTGCCATAAGTATATGTGTCCAGAACACACTATTTCATTCTGCCAGGATTGTGCTGCAATCACAGACAATAATGATTTGTAATTCATAATTTGATGATAAGACTGTTAGTGCAAATAATTGACCTCGACGTATGTACCAAATTAAAAGTTAATCGTGTAAGAAGGGAGTTACTTTTTGTTGTTTTTAGTGTAAGTTTAGAAAGTTTATGTAAAAGTTGATTATTTTGTAGAACTTTGTTAAAAGTGATTTAATTATATTATTTTGTACTCTTCTCTGCGTTTTATTTTGATAAAACCGTAAAAGTAACATGTAATATAAATAATATTGATTGATATTTGGTACATTAATATAAATTTAGGTATTTTAGAGCCAATTATATACAGGGTCAATAAGACCCTCCACAACCTCCACGTTACTATTTTCACCACATCCTCGCCGGGTTAAAAAAAAAGGGCTGTAAATAATAGACTAAAGGATCTTGTGGCAGCCTAGCATAGCGTTGTGACAGCTTCGTCATAGCCTAGAGGTAATACTTAAAACAATAATTTAAGCAACACATTTTTTGTTAGGTACCTATTTAAAATGTCATCAACATTTATATAAAATTTTTATTAAGCTATACGATAAAGTGTGTCAATGTTACGGACCTTGTAGGTGGAGAGGTTGTGTACGGTGCACGCGAGTATCGCCTCCCGACCTAGTGGGGCCGTCACATTCGCTATCGGCGCACTGAAACCTGGCTCATCTGAAACAATGTACATGTTTTATTGCAGTATACAGTGTGTACAGTAGTCTTGTCCTATGTATAAGTGGCTACAATAATAATAATATTTAATTACTTTTCTACATAATTTCAAATATTTTTTTATAGCATAAGCCGGTAAGCGAGCGTACGGATCACCTAATAGTAAGCAATCGGTGCCGCCCATGGACACTCGAAACACCAAGGCGTTACAAATGCGTTACCGGCCTTTTGGAAATTGGGTATTTGAGGATTAAGGAGGATTCGGGGATTCAAGAGACGGGGACTAGGTACGGGGACTAGGGTAATTGGGCCTCCAATAACCTCACTCACACGACAAAACACGACGCAAGCGATGTTTCACGTCGATTTTCTGTGAGGCCGTGGTATCACTCCGGTCGAGCCGGCCCATTCGTGCCGAAGCATAGCTCTCCCACACTGAAATATGTACTTAAGTGTATTAGGAGACAGAATTATCTAAAGTTCGTCTTTCTTCGATCTATGTCTATATCAAAATTCACCCAGATTACTACAGTCGTTTTTGCGTAAGAGAGACACATATATTCGTCGTTTAACAACACATGATCGTACAAAGCTTTCATCAATTAGATTTATTTAGGTACACAAAAGTTACCAATTAGTTTTATTTGAAACATTACTAAGGTGAATGAACTATTTATTAGCGTGCCAGTTCAGACTTTGACGGGACTTTCGTAGAAAACTAAAATTATCGACGTTATTTCATCTGAAGTGTTAACTTTAAATCAAATTATTGTTTAATAAATAGGTGAGTGTCTGAAATATAAGCTTAATGATCACAAGCTTAACTAAGAAACTTTAGATAGGTTGGATTCATATCTCATAGTTGCTAATAGAGACGGCAACACAAGTTGAGAAAATATATGATTTATTCTAAGAAATTACATAACTTAACATCACGCCTTTTATCCTCGAAGGGGTAGGTAGAGGTGTACATTACGGCACTTAATGCCACTGTACAATGTAACAACCACTTTTCACTATTTATGTTATGAGTCCCATGTAATAGGGGGTGAGCCTCTTGCCATATACCGGGCACAATTCCAGACACCCTGCTACTACTGAGATTTTTTGAAAAAGTCCAGTTATACTTTGCCCGACCTGGGAATCGAACCCGAGACCCCTTGCCCGGCAGTCGCAATTGCGACCGATTGGCCAACGAGGCAGTCAAAGAAATTATTCTATTCAATTTCATTACCTGGCCTTAAACCGGTCAAAGTTTTTGGAATCAATAATATATAGGTAAGTGCCGTAATGAGACGCCGATTTTTTGCTCTATGTGAAGTTACCCATCCCTTCGAAGAAAAACTTGTGAGCCAAATATGATTATGTCTGCAAGAACCTATAAATTATTATGTATTCTTAAGCCGTCTTAAGTGCCTAGATCTAAGTAAAACCACTTCGGCAAAAATCTAGGTAGCTATGGAAAACTGAATTGATGAATAAGTAATTTTGAAGAAACTTGTTTTTATTTATTCAAAGGTTTTCATTAAATTTAAATCATTTCTGAGGTACAACAACTCCCAAAGGTTTTGACTTAAAACGACAATTACTTGGCTGTTGAAAAACTTTTTATAAAATTCACTTTTACATAATTGTATTTAATAAAAGCTATTATTGTTGTTGCATAGTACTAGGTTTATACCTATTAATTTATTAGATTTAAGTCTAGTCAGTAAATAAAAGACATTTCTGTCCGTCCATTCACATAATGACTAGAATATCAATATGCATTTGAAGTACCTATGACTAGATATTTTTCAGGTCTGACTATTCCTTTAAAATTTTCACATATCCATACAAGGGCTCCAATTCATTCATTGGTTAAACAAAGTTTAAGTCAAAATACTCTATCAAATCGATTCTCAAACACATTACCGCTCTAATACTTTTAAAGATGACCTTAAACCAAAAGAATCATAAAATAAACTATACCCAACTCTATTTGACTTCCTAGAAACTGTACTGGAAATAAAAACTCACTATTTTTTACGACTTTTCACGAACTACAACACTTAATCATTCGTTTCGTGTCTTTTATTTTCTAGAATGGGTATAACATGGTTTCACAGAATAGTTTTTATACTAGAAGATTGCTGTACTCTAATGTTATAATATAGTATCTTACTATGTTTTTATAATAAGTATCGTGACACATACTAAATTAATTAAACCTCACGTAAATATACTGAGAAAAGCTCTACTAGTTTCGAACCTCATTGGGGTTCTTCCTCGTGAGCAGCGTGCACGGTCGCGGCAATGTCGCGCAGCATACAGACCCCTCTGTGGTTTGAATTTAGTAGAGCTTTTCTCAGTATATTCAAGTGAGTAACCCGCGATTTGTAGTTAATTTAGTATTTTACTAATATTACAAAATATGCGGAAGTTCGTATGTTTATTTGCTTGTTTGTTACTACTTCACGTCGTGACTGACTGATGAAAAGATATAATTTTAACTACGTGTAGAACCTAAGACTATTAGAAAGCTACAAAATGACAAAGACCACTCTTACCGCAGAAAAATTACCACAATACCTCCGAGAAACTTGTAATACTGTGCGATATTGTATTTTATACAATTCTACTTAGTTAAAGGTTATTGGTATTTAATGTGTCTATTTCACTTCCAGGTAGCCAGCAGTCAAAGCCACGTTATAACAATTTGTTCATAAAGATACAAATGTAAGCAGAACATTCCTATAAATGTTGATGTTTTCACCTTTTGGGAAATCGTGTTCGGTTTGCTATGAACAACACGAGAGAAAATTTTAATTAAATTTAAACCAATTTTGTAAAGAATGTTTATTCAAAGGGATGTTATTGATTTACCATGTAGGCATTGTAGGCGCCTGATTAAAATGTTCCAGCATGTTTTAAAATATTGTAAGTATTTAGTATGTTACTTTGTATTTTAACAGTGCTATAATCAGACCAGTAACGGCTGTTATTTCGGGTATCCAAAACTGCGACCAGTCTAGAGGCTGGCCTGTAATTTTTGGTATCCTGTCTAGTAATACAATAGTACACCTCTAAGAAAAAAACTAACTAGACGTCTCTCGACTACCCAAGGCTATTTTACCTACTAGAAAATTATTTACGGCGAAAAGTACCAAAACTAAACATATAGATAAGATACCGACACATAGCGTATGCTCAATAGAGTACTTAAATTTAAAAAATATATATATGACGTAGTATGAAAATGGTGTAGGTACGCAGGGTTTGTCTTGTTATAAAGTACCTAGTTTATGTAGTGTGTACCTACATAGAATCATATTTTTTAATACAAATACATATTTAACTTAATTCATATTCAAGAAAAATCATGTTAATACACAAAGGTCTAATTAAACTGTCAAACACCAAGCGGTCACCGGTGACCGCAACCTATTGTTCTATAATTGTGTCTACAAAGACGGTACTCGACGAGTTAAAGAAGTTTCATATAATAACATAATCCTTTTTTGAAGTACCTACGTAAATTCTAAAGCAAACTAGACGCTAGAATTTGTTACCTAATTATAAATTTGGGGATGTTTACAAAATACGACAAGTTCTTGTCTTATTAAATTCGTTCGTAGAACAAATTATTGGCTTACAACGTACTAATGATAACGTATTATATTAAAATATTATTTTAGTCCTTGTTTCATAATAATTTTTGAAAGAAAGAAAGAAAGAAAGAAAAACCATTTATTTTAATACTACACACAACAAGAATTTAGAAACACAAAAAAAAAGCCTATAGTACGTCGCAGCGCAAATTGTTAAAAAGATGTTTTACTAATTTACGACATGGGGAAAATGTTACGATATGGGTCGCTCTCAATGACATTACTTTTTGTTTAAAACTATAAATTCTTCGATAGCCCCATCCTTAAGTCACACTTTGGTTTATTAGACCACATAACAACTCTTAAAAACAATACACGAGGGAGAAACGCATCAAAGTATTAAAAAAACTACTACTAAGAGTAAATACATAAAATAAATAAACACTTTCAAATGTCATACTTACAAACAAACTAAACACGACATAATATTACGTTTTCCATGAATATCAAATTATATTATGCCAATTCATTTTGAATTCAACAAACTAATTTCAAGTTTGAATTCCGTACCCATTTAATGGCTGTCTTCGTAAATCGCGTTATGGCGGTCATGCAGGCTACTATTTTTCGAACATTAGATGATATTAGTTTAGCAAGAGGTCAGTTTGTCCAATCAGTGTTACTGTCAAAAATTCAATGACCTCAATAACCAATGGTGTGGCTCTAGCTAATTCCCTACTGGACAAAAAGATGAGGGGTTTACACTAGGTCCATCTATCTGGTGGACAAAAACGGTAGCCCTAATAGGCAGCTTAGACATATGTCATCATAGGCATGACATATGTCAGGCAAGTCATTATTGGTCACTAGGTGAAATATACCTAGGGATGCCATGTTTGCAACTGATCATTGGCCATATTTGCTCGCATAACGTTTGAGTGCTTTTTGAATCTGTAATGCGATATCATTTTGTGTTTTTACGTCAATTTGATTATAAGTGCAGTTCAGCAAGCGTTTCTTAGGTTGCATCCACGTAAATCCATTCTTACTAATATTATAAATGGGAAAGTGAGGTTTTTTGTTTGTTTGTTTGTTCCGCTTTCACGCCGTAACTACTAAACCGATTGCTTTGAATTTTTGCAGGCGTAAAGTTAGAAGTCTGGATTAAATAATGGGGTACTTTTTATCCCAGAAAAATTTGATATTCTCGAGGGAAAACAAAATTATTGGTATAAATGGCGCTGTGTGTATTGGTATATGTCACATAGGCTACCTTTTATCTTTTTGTGACGCGAGCGAAGCCGCGGCTAAAAGCTAGCAGGTAGACAATTTCAAAATTGCAAATAAATTGGGCTGTTATTTTGATAAACGCACCCCTACTAATATCGAGGTTCTACTTGATTTTTTTAA